AGAGGAAGACCACGAGAATCTCCCTTGGTTAGCCTGACGGCAAGGAGATGATCGTGATCCGTCTACCACTAAGGATATTTCACGTCAGCACTGTGGTCGGTGCAAGCCGGATGCGGAATTCGTATCGACCAGATATAGCTGGGATTCGAGCCCGGTTCACCTCATAGGAAGGCGAACGCTCTATCTCCTAAGCCATTGCAGCTCAAAGACCATCTATTGGAGTTCTTTTAAACTTGGTAAATCCAAGTCTTGGTCTTGCTCCTTAAATGTTCATTGGTTAAATGCAGTATTCGGAAGTATAGCACTACAAGTAGAGAAATACCGTAGTCGCTACTTTTTTTCGTAGTTTGTAATGTAGTGTGCTACTTTTTTTTTAAAAAAAAAGTAATGTAGCGAGTAGCGCAATGCAAAAAATCAGTAGTTTGTAGCGATTCCTGGCGACTACTTTTAACGTTAGTTTAGAAACACAACTTTATCGTATTGTTCTGAAACAACTTTATTTTTCGAATTTGATGAGGAAGAATCTTTGCGGGTCCGACAATAGATGCAATGAAAATGTAACAGAAATTACGTATTTAAAAACACGTGTAACTAATACTTAAACTAACCATTACGAAAAATAAATAGTTAATAACTTTGGTTACGCTCTCACATGCGAATGCACACTCTTGAAACATTGACGTTATTTTAAAGGAAGTGGACGTATTTTCGATGCACTTAAATTCTTAGAGGAAATAAAAGAGCAGGGGTCTGTCCAGACATTTTGTGAAGGGTCCGTTTTTCGTGAAATTGTGGAAAAATTACTCACATTCTTTCAACCAGGGTCCGCTTTTATGAATTTGTGCAAATAGGGTCCGGTTATTACAAAACACTTTTTCAATGAGTTTTTAAATTGTAAATAGATACAAGATTATGCTCGGCACTGTAAAATTATAATTAAAAAAATTAAATTTTCAAAAATAAACAGCAATTGCTGCTTCTAAATTAGAATACAAATACTTGGTATTTAGCCTATACTGCTGAACGCAGAAAATTCATTTCGGTCGAATAATGGAAAAATCGTCTGCCGAAGACAAAACTTAGTTCGTTTACATCCATCTTTCTTGTTTTCTGCCCTGGGAAGGGTTTAGTCGATTAACAAAACGATAATGAAGACAAACAAATTTGTGAAGGGTCCGATTAAAAGATAAATTATTTTGTGAAGGGTCCGTTTTGAAGTTAAAATATTTTGTGAAGGGTCCGTTTTTATGAAAAGATATTTTGTGAAGGGTCCGTTGACGGACCCAAATTTCTTCTAAACAGACCCCTGAAGAGCATTAAAAAATTGCAAGTTATTTGATAATTTCGCTATTCTGAAAATTAAAAATTCGCTCTAGAAAAAGGCTTAAAAAATTGAAGATGAAATCAACAAATTCAAAAAAAGATTTTTTTTTTTTAGAATAGCAAACTGGCTCATGAAAACATGAATAAATATATCTTAATTTTCCCCTTATATTCAATGTGAACCAATTTCTTATTCAAAACCAGTTTGAGGCACACGTGTAAATTAAGTTTTCCAGCAAAGTTCTCCTCCTTAAAGTAGTGAAGTACTTACTAAATTCCAGAGTAGCTTGTAGTCACTAGATTTAAAAAAAAAGTAGTTGTAGTTGCAGTTAACTACATTTGTAATTAAGTAGTTGTAGTTGTAGTTAACTGCAAAAATTACGTAGTTTTCCTGAACAATGGTTAAATGTTACCACATGATTAACCATGTGACACACTAGATGGAAAAAAAATACGGTAAGTAATTCTTAACAAGGCAGGTACTTTATTTACGTCGCACTAGAGCTGGACAATGAGCTATTGGCGACGGTCCGAGAAATATCCTAGAGGTTGATCCGAAGACATACCATTACAATTTTGATGCAGGCGATGGTTCCCAGCCCGACGACCTGCGCGCCTGGATCAAGTATTGGGAGAAATTTGCCTTCGTGGAGGACTTTTTGATGGAATTAACCTGCATTGCGTTACATGGAGGAGAAGACCACGATAACGTCCCATGGTTAGCCTGACTGCAAATGGACTCTAATTCAGGATCCGTCGACCACTGAGGTTATTTCACGTCGGTACTGTGATCGGTGCGAGCCAGATGCTAAATTTGTTTCCACCAGCCATCGCTGGGATTCGAACCCGGTTCACCTCATTGGAAGGAGAACGCTCTATCCCCAGAGCCATTGTGGCTCTTATGTGTATGGTATATGATTCTTATAATTCAAGCAAACATTAATTACATAGTTATTCAACTCAGACAAACGTTATGATAAACCTTGTTTTTTAACTGAATTATGCGCATGGCCTATTGGCCCAGGCAAGAAGCAGGATTAAAGCTCAAATAAATAAAATCACTTCTATATTAAAGTCATACCTCTATTAAATCAAAATTAATAGTAAGAGAGATGCATTATCCCTAAAAAAAGTAACCACCTTTAAAGATCAATAAAATGTTCGTATTTCGATGGGTTATAGTGTCAAGAACGGCATTGCATTAAAAAATAATAATAATAAAATAAAAATCTGTTAGCGTGCAAGGAGAGAGAAGAAAAAGCGGGACCTAAAGTAAAATTATAAATGAGAAAAATGACATGTAATGGAAAATACCTTATTTATTAATTAATATCTGAAATGTCTATTTTGCGGATTTTGCTTAGTACCAGTAAAATAACTGGAATGAAGTACTTGCATAAAAACAAATTACAGTCCATGGCTAAACTATTAGATACACTGTAAGATTCTATGTAAAATCTTTATTACCCGGTGATACTATACAGCTGTATTGTTTTGACGAAACTTAAACCGGTTTGATCTTAAGTTCGTGCATTAATTGGTTAAATTAGACGATATATAACCAGGGGTCTGTCTAGGTTTTTCTGAAAGGTACCTATTTTGTGAAAATTTAGACATAATTTGTGAATAATTAAAAATTATATTTAAAAATCAACACAGAAGTATGGATTTATAATTTCTTATGGGATACAAAAATAAAATTTTAGGAAAAAGTCTTTTGTGAAACTACCGTTTTTCCTAAAATTGAATTTGTGAAACTACCGTTTTTCCTAAAGTTGAATTTGTGAAGGTACCGCTAAACGGTAGTAAATTCGGCCTGGACAGACCCCTGATAACATAAATTCGACCATTGGATAAATTAGACGATATATAACATAAATTCGACGATTGGATAAATTAGACAATATATAACATAAATTCGACGATTGGATAAATTAGACGATAAATTCGACGATTGGATAAATTAGACGATATATAACGTAAATTAGACCATTGGATAAATTAGACGATATATAACATAAATTCGACCATTGGATAAATTAGACGATATATTATATATATAGAATATTTATTATATCAGGTATTATATTAATATATTATAATAATTAGACCTTTGTTAGACGCACTGTAGTGTTTTAATAATAACATATTTTGCACGAGACTTTAATATCCTTCTTATTTGTATTTATTTTTAACGCATTGCATTACACTGTTAAATAATTGATACAAGAACATAAGCAAGTGCAAACCGGTTTCAGTCACATAAAAACAATAAAACTATAGTATCACCTGATAATTAAGATTTTACATAGAATCTTATAGTGCGTCAAATAATTTGGTCAGGAAGTGTAAGTGGAAAATTAGTCACCAAATTGGCGATTTTTAAAAAAGCTTAATAACTTTTGAAACATTTAAGTTTCTTGTCCATTCAACTTTAAACCCAGATAATTAATTCTTCACAGCAAGATGATATTGCATAGTTTAGAATCATCGATTTAAAATCATCGATTGCATAGTTTAGAATCATCGAGTGTAAGGCATTTAAACTGTAGTTATTTTTATTTTATTATTATCCTTGGCGACTGGTCCTCGAAAGTAACAAAAGATAATATTATTAGTTCAAATAATAACTTCTAATTATTTTTTAATTATGCATTTCACTTTTCCCCCTCAGTTTTCTCTGAACAGTTTCTAGTTTACAACCATTTTTTCCTACCTATATATTTTTTTTCAAGTTTTTTTATGCGAGAATTTATTTTCAGAGCTAAGTTTTGTATTCCATTTTTCGCTCTAAAGTTAGAGGAGTTTTTTTTAACCTAGTTTTACTTTTTTAACCTCAATCAGTTTATTTATTTATTTTGCCGCATATTTTTACTTTCAGAAATTAATTCAAAATATGCTAAGATAAGGACTTTAATTTTACTAAATTTGCTAAATATAAACTGAAAGTCATAGGAACGATAAATGTACAGCAATATACCTGCTTACAATAGGCATTGGGGAAAACAAACTTCTGCAATTATTAAATAGTTCTTTTTTTTATTTCTTCAAAGCATTGTTTTTCACTACCCTACGATAGTTGATATTATCATTTATTCAAAGTTAAATTATAATTATTATTATGATTAAATTATTTACATTACTAACTATAACTTATATTAAGCGTTAATTATCCGTATTACATAATGCATCACGATAATTTTCTTCAGTTAACAGTTTTACCAATATAGCTTCCACTACACATAGGATTGTTTTGATTAGTTCTTGATTGATTTATAAAAATTGATTAATTGAAAGTGAGTAAACCATTTGGATTAATAATTAGTTTTAATTAAAATATAGTCATAAACAACAACTAATGCCTATTTTAACCACTTCAATAACTACTTGTTTATAATCAGAAAACCCGATATTGTTTTTCTCCCCTTCCATTGCAATATTACTTTTGTGGCGTAACTACCACTGTAAATATTAAATACTAATTCACTAGTATATAAGACTTGTTAATTTGATTCTATCTTCTAGAGGTTCCTTTCGATAGATGAAGATTGATATTGTCGATAAATAAATCTCTGCACTTTCTATTAAAATTGGATTTTTTAAAAACATTAATCAGTTAAACATTTAATTAATTAAATGGAGAAAACAAACATAAAAATCGAACAAATGATACTTACAAGTGACGAATGCCGCTTCAGCATGAGAATCTCTAAATTTTTCCAGTAGTTTTACATATAAAACTCCAAAACAGTTCATTATTCCAAAAATAGTTCCATTTGTCCAAAATGATGCTAAGCAGACAACCCACCCCCATCCCCCATCTGGGGGTTGAAAAACTCTGTTAGTTTTGGGGGTGGGTTCTAGTTTCGGAACAGGTAGTGTTTCAGAATCTTTGCCCAGCAATTGATTCCTCACATCGGGCTTGGCTGGACTGTTTGCACCGGACTTTCCCATTCTTCAGATAAAGTGAACTCTCAGATATATGGAAGAGTTTATATAAATCCTTTGGCAAATGAAAACAAAGCAATTTGTCAAATTATTCGGAGGCTTTCAACGTTAATAAGATGATGTATTTTTGTTGTTTTTTATCACTCTTTCCTTATTCAGCAGTAATTCTGTCATGATCTTTCTACAAAAAAAGAAGATACCGGTGTGAAAAAGAGGAAGATTTCGAACGTCACTTCGAACGTTGGGCGAAGAAGAATGCTGAAAACGAGGGAAATTAAAAGTTCCGCAATCAGATCGTCTGTCACTCAACGCGAGTGATTAGAATAGAACTATCCCTGTCTCGTGCCCTCGATGGGTGAAAGCGAATCGAAATCCAAGGACATTAGTTTTCGAAGCAGACGATAAAATACCGGAAGGAATCGCACTACGATCGATGCACATTCGAATTATACAAACTTTCAGTTGTTTGTGGATAGACAAAATCTATTCGGTTTCAACATTTTGTCTCGCCTAGAAAGAAATTTTGGATAGGTCGCTCTCCCTTCTTTCTCCTTGGATGATTATTTTTAGAAATTGATGGAGAAGGGAAATGATGCAACGCTTATAAACAATTTCACTGGGTGTAGATGGCAGCACCTGCTATAGTTTTTTTTCTTTCCACTCTCACATGGTGACGATATATTGATCACTAAAATGAGGTTATCTGCTAACAGACGGTTGCTAATACGAATATTTGGCACGAAATAGAAACAAAACGACAAAAAATTTCAAAACAACAGATGTTTCAGAATAGTAAGAGCTGTTGACCGCAGCATAATTTTCTCACTGCTAACAGCGAATTATCTGTATGACACTAAAAATCTGCCTTATTATCTTGTGCGTTTATTATTATAAATTACTGCGCCACCACACCGGCTTCTCTCTCTTTTTTTTTTAATGTTTCAACTTCGTGCTAAAATGTTATAATTAATTAATATTGTTCTGTGATTGTTCTTTTGCTGTGAGAGAACGGTAATTAACCCTAACTGGGACCAAAAAAACAACTCTCGGAAAAATTGAAGATACCAGTTTAAATTATAATTCAGCTTGGAGCGGCTCAAACGATAAATATCGTAATAAATATATTGTAAAAAATGCGTACGTAAAAATAATAATACGTTTTAATTAATAAATTATATATATAAAAAAAAGAAAGTCCTGTAAATTCGAAATTTAATTTCGAAACTCAATTTTCTATTAATTATTCAATTATCGTCTGCTATTCAGTAAATTTCNTAAACAAAATTACTTTGTTACAATATAATATTCTAATACCAAAAAAAAGTACTTACGTAGCGTGAAAATATCTTTTGTGATGGAACTCTTTCTAACGTACATAAAAATGGTTGACAGCAGGGGTGTACATGTAGATTTATTAAATACAACTTGTGCGCCACTTAGAAACCTAATCTAGAACCCGACGCTTGAAATTTTTGCTCTGTTACAATCCTACCCTGTTACAATTGACCCCACTCTCCCCTATACAAGACGTTAGGAGTCACAACTTCATGTTCAAGCGACTGAGAAACAATACAATCGAAATTTTATTTTATTTTATAACCGTCATTTAATAGCCGACCTAATTTTGATTTTACGACTATCACGGTTAGCCTGATGGCAAGGGGACTCTAAGCCATGATCCATCTACCAACCACTAAGGACATTTTACGTCAGAACTGGGGTCGGTTCAATTCGTTTCATCCAACGCATAGCTGAGATTCGAACCCGCGAGGGGTGAGCGTTCTGTTACCCCCCCCCCCCACACACACACACGTCTCCGCTTCGAAATTTGTCAAATCATTTGTCAGGAAAGTGGAATGAAAAACATCGAAGCCAGTTTTATTGCTTATTTATGCTTGTAGGAGGATTCTAAAAATTCTATTCATTTTCGACAAGAAATGCTATAAATTGTTCATTTTTGTGAAATGTAATAAAAAAAATTTATTTTTTGACAAGGAGATTCTAAAAATTCCATTCATTTTCGACAAGGTTTCTGAAATTTCGATTCATTTTTCAAGGAGGAATCGAAAAGTTATTCATTTTTGGCAAATGATTCGAAAAATTATTTCTTTTTCGACAAAATTAATAAAAAAATTTCAATTTTGACAAGAATTCTAAGAAATCTACTAATTTTTGACAAGGATTCTTTATAAACTCTTCTGAAAGAATTCTGAAAGTCTTTTAATCTTTGTCGAAAATTCTATAAATTCTTTATTTTTGACGAGTATTATGAACGGTGATTAAGACATTCTGTGTATAAAATTGTGTTCATCCAAATTAAATAAAAAAAAATAATAATAATAAATAAAAGAATCAATCAAATTTTATCTGTCAAAAATCACGGACAATTTCATTTGAAATATTTTTATGCAGCATACTCTCGATATCTCAAAGTTGAAGGAACGCTAAAAAAATTTCGAGATAGCAACTTTTCGAGATAACAAGTTCAGAACTAAATATGTTCTTAAAAGTAAAAGAATATATTCTAAAATATTACTCTAAAAAGTAAAGTCATGAAGCATAAGAATAACTATTATTAAATATATACAGAATGATAGTTGATTACAAGTCAAAATATAACAATGAGAACTTTATTCTTAAAAGTAAGACGAGATCTAGAAAAAAATTGGTTCGTAATTTTTTCGAAAAAATTCAAATTTTCGAAAAGCAAAAATTTTGACGAAAAAATTCATTTGCTATTTCGAAAAAAATTCGGCATAGCAAGGTTTTGAGAAGAAAACTTTCGACATAACAATTTGAGTTATAATTGGGTGGCTATATAAGGCTAAGGAAAGAAATATTTTTTCGACATAACAAGGTTTTCGAGTTATCGAAGTTCGAGATATCGAGAGTGTACTGTAATTAGATACAGTTATTCGGCTACTTATATTATATTTTTGGAAATAATATTAATTTTATATATTAATTATAATTCAATATTAATTAATATTAATCATAATTTAATGTTAATTATAATTTTTCAAGGTTTGAAAGTGGTATGATTTTGGAAACTGGTTGCCTAATTTGTATCACCTGATCCTTAAATCGTACTAACGTCAAAAATATTGAGTATTTATGATTCAATTCAATAAGTAAACCATGTGTTGAATTGACGTAGGTGAAATTGCTATGTTGCTTGAAATTTAGGACTGCACACGAGGTACGATTTAAACTATTACGCAACGTTTTAAACAAAGTGTTGCTCTAATCCTCAAACGATAGTTAACTAACAAAGGAAAGAGGAAGCAGTTGCTTAAGTTGTTAAGTTATTAAATAATGTATTTAAAAATCTGTATCTGTGTTACTTTAGTTCAGCTATATCCTTTCACAGGATGCTCAAAAACTACATTAAGCACTTGTTAAACCGATTATTTTAAAAAAACTTATCACAACTACTTGTGGCTTCTAAATGATTCTCCGCTTAAAAAAATGCTTCCTAATTTATCCTATAGAGCAGAGGTCACCAAAGTGGTCTATATAGACCCACAGGGGTCTATTTAACAAAAGCGGGGGTCGAATGGTGGTCGATCCGAATCGGAAGAGTCGATTGGAGGTCGAAGAAAAAACAGTTCTTAATACGCAAATCACACATAGCTAATATACATACTCAAGTATGTAAAATTCGTGAATTTTTTTTATAATTGACTTAATATCAGTTTCTTCATAAAACACAAATTAATAAACGGATATTTATTCGGATGAAACTAGTATTTACGTACCAGCGCGCAGTGGCACGAACTCAGCACAGTTTATATTGTAACGAGCATTGACGTTACAAACGCAAATATCATACGCAGTTTCAGCTAGCTTTGCAAACTGTGAACAGTGTGGAATATTTGCAGTGTCATTATTAAAACTTTTATAGTTTTGGATAATTAGTTATTGTTTCGATAAAACCATTCGTTTACTTTAGATATCAATTTTAATTATTAATGCATGTAAAAAAGGAAGGTAAGCATTAATAATATGGATTAGTACAGCCCGCGACAAAACTATATCACACTTTGTATTTTTTTTACAAAAATTACAAATTTGACCAATTTTGACGAAAATTTAAATTGACCAATTTTGAACCCTTTATAGCGAACCTTGCAAAAATAAACACCAGGCACACCCATCTCATTGATTAAGAAGCAATAAATCTGTAGTTACTTTACTTATTATTTCTACCTATTCATAATTACTTATTATTTAAAAAATATTAAGGCATTAAAAATTTCAACATTAATACATTTTTCATAAAACTATTGTTGCACAATGTACTATTACTTTAATAATGTTTAAAATCATAAAATAAATGCACAAACGCAGTATGTAATAGAGTTTTATTTTAATTAACAAAAAATTACTTTTGTGGAGGTCGATGGAGACTTCAAAAAATTATGTAGGGGTCGATGATCAAAAAAATTTGGCGACCCCTGCTCTAGAGTGTTTTGTATATGTTACAGTGAATACCCGAAAGCAAGAGAATGTCGACTTTCACCGGTGAATGTCAGCAATGACATAGTCGTTTTGGCGAATGTCCGAAATATTTGTTATATCGGATTTGATATTAATTTGTTGGCTGATATAATTATATTTATTCAATATTTTAAATATCTGCTGAGGATATATTAGGAGAAACATCAGTGTTCGCAGTATCGGTTAAATGCATACCGGGCAGTGGGACTTAACTAAAAAAAAACAATTGTAGGGTATACCGGGCAATGGCGTTGAACCTTAAAAAACATTGATGTAGGGCATACCGGGCAAATGTATACCGGGCAGTGGCACTTAACGAGACCTAGTATATATTTCGGATAGTTACCAAAGTGACTACATGATTGTCAACATTCATCGGAAGTCAACAACCACCGATTTTGGTCATTCCCAGTAACATATACAATGCTTCTTTAAAAATCAAAGGTGGTACGATTTGGGCAATTCTTGTTTAATGAATTCAAATGTAACGAAAGAAACATTTGTAGCAGAGTAATGACAATTATTATCACAAATATCGTGTAGTACAAAAAGGGAAAAAAAAGAAGGAAAAAAAAACACCCATACACTGAATAACCTTTTATTTACTGATCGGATTTCAAATGCCAGTATTCATTCTTAATAGTTTGAGGGTCACACATTAAATATACTAATTAATTAGTGTAGATTTTATTTTAAGTTAAGAAACTAGACATGGCTGAATTGCTAAATTTTAAATATATTAAATTTTTAAAAAAGTTTGTATATTTAAAATTTGATTTCTCAAAAACTCTTCGAGAAATTTCGTTCAAATTTTGTATTATAGAATTACATACTTAAAAATAAGGTCAACGTTTGTATTGCTTGCGATTCGAAATTTTTTCTGCTATTTTTAAATAAAATAATAAAAAATAATAAATTATTGGTAAAAATTAAAAATTAATAAATTCTTTAATAAAATAATAAAAAAATAATAAATTATTGCTAACAATTAATGCATTTTTTAATACATTTTTTAATAAAATAATGAATTATTGTTAAAAGTTAAATTTTGCATGGACTAATCTTTAGATAAGC